AAATAATATTACCAGCCATACGTTTTTGAAAAAAAATAATATTACCAGCTATACGCTTTAAAAAAAATAATATTACCAGCTATACGTTTTAAAAAATAATATTACTAGCCATACGTTTTGAAAAATAATATTACTAGCCATACGTTTTTGAAAAAATAATATTACCAGCTATACGTTTTTAAAAAAATAATATTACCAGCCATACGGTTTTGAAAAAATAATACTACCAGCTATACGTTTTTTTTAAGGTATAGTGTTACCGGCTATACGTTTTAAAGATAATATTACCAGCAATAAGTTTTTGAGGAAAAAAATATTACCAGAAATAGATTTTTGTCAAATCAAAAATATTACCAGGAAAAAAAAAAAGAAGTTGTCGGCATTAAATGACCCATTGAGGTGTTAATATGCCGTAAAACAAACCAAACCAAAACCGAATAAGTAAATCCATTTTGTGCTGAATGTGAAGCTAATCGCCTTGACTGTCTCAGTTGGCATCCGTCCGTCTCGGGAGACGATGGTGTAGCGCTGTAAGTGCAGGGCGATGGAGCTATATCGGCCCTGGTGACTGTGTAGTCCCACTACTTCTACGCACCGCTGGCGAATCTTATACGTGTTCTTCTTCCTATGTATTATCGTTCATTACCAACCTTCGTGTGATTATTCTATTCGGCAACCTTCTCTAGTATCTTAAATAAAGTATACATTTTAAAAAATTTCATAATGTTTTGCCAATTCTGTTTACTAAGACTTTTAGTTTACCTGCATGTATGGTACAGGTCTGTATTTATAAAAATTTAAAAAATGACCCCCAAAGCAACAGTAGGAAATTCAAAAAGAAAGCGAAATAAAAGACAAAAAATATTTAATTTTTTTAGGGGTAAAATGTGGCTCTGGTATACCATGATCTAAGTAACCAATGAAAATATCGTACTCCCAACAAATCTTATAGAAAACAAATTGGAAAATGTCCTACCGGAGGGTCGTATGGGTCTTACAGACATACCACCTTGACATTCTGCTGGGTGATGTAGGTACCAACGTGTTTTAATAACAGGTTTATTACTCTGTGATATGTCCCGGCAAGGGATATATTTGATCGAAGTAGCTAAGTGGTTTTGGCTACTATAACCAAGTAGAATACGGTAGCAGTAATCGACTGGTAAGCGTCGTAGTCGCAGGTAATAAGTGTAGACCAATAGAATAGCCAATGGCGTAGTCCAATGGGCGTTGTCATACACTTATCACTTTCTTCTAATCAGTCTGTATTTATGGCTGATACCGGCCAATCACATTCCAGTGAGAGGGAACTCAAGTGTATGCATATTCCATTATATCACTCTGTTTATGTAGATAGTCTCTCCTTGTATTTCAGCCTTCCTTCAAATATATCAGGTCATCCCATACGTTCTGTCCGAATTTTGAATAAAGAAAACAAGTCACCAAATGTTACATTTAATTACAGATTCAATCAACAATGTATTTTCCCTGATTATCTATGACTTCCTTCCATCTATTAACAAGCTTACTAATTCCATTACTGTAAAAAAAAAATTTTTGGCTTTTGATTCGAAGAACTCACAAACGTCAGTTTTTACCTCTTCCAGTGTTACAAAAGCTGTTTCTTCCAAATGATTCAAGCTACGAAACAAATGGTAGTCTGAAGGAGCAAGATCGGGTGAATAAGGTGGATGAGGATTTTTTCCCAACCAAGTTCTTCGATCTTTTGTGATGTGATTCTTGCTGTGTTGGTCGCGCATTGTCCTGATGAAACATCACCCCTTTTCGATTCACTAGAGCAGGTCTTTTTTTCCTCAAAGCTTGGTTCAACTGCTCTAATTGCTGACAGTATATTTGAGCATTAATTGTTGCATTAGGTGATAAGAATTCAAAGTGGATTATTCCTTGGCGATCCCACCAGATTGAAAGAAGAACCTTTTGCTCATGAAGTTCTGTTCTCAGCTGTGGCTGGGGTCCTTCCCCCTTACCAAGCCACTGTCTACGACGTTTAACATTTCGATAAAAGATCCATTTTTCCTCGCCAGTCACAAGTCTATCCAAAAAAGGTGAAACACCTTGGCGAGAATGGAGAGATGAGCAGATGTCAACTCGGGATTTGAGGTTGTTTTCGGAAAATTCATGAGGCACCCATTTTCCAAGTTTAGGAACTTTTCCAAGTTGTTGAAGATGGCGATGAACAGTTGTATAGTTTGAACCGAGAACCACTGCCAATTCCTCAACTGATAAAGCAGGATTTTCTTCAAGGGATGCTTCAAGAAGCTTTTCATCAAATTCAAATGGACGTCCGCTTCGATCTTCATCTTCAAGGGTGAAATCTCCACCTCTGAATTTTGCAAACTATCTTCTGCAAGTTCTTTCATTCACACATTCCTTTCCATAAACTGAGTGAATGTTTCTAGCCGCTTCGGCTACTGAGTTTCCTTTCTTGAAACTCATAAAGCATTATGTGCCTCAAATGATTCTTGGGTACTTCCATGTTAGCAGGGTTTTAATCAAACAAAATTTAATTTTATTGCTCTCTGAAATAAAAATTTGATCAGTTTAAATGTATTTAAACATAAAAATAATGTTCAGCCCCATTAGACATTATAAAATACTCTTTAAATTTCGTTCATTTTAACAAAAAGTTAAAATTCGGACAGAACTTATGGGATGACCTGATAGATCATATGACAAGATAATATTAACTTATGCCTACTCTCCGGACACACCCTGAAATGACTTCATGTTTTCCATTAATAGAAACTTTTCAAGAACGTTTCTTTTTTTCTTTTGTAGAGAGCTCCAGTTCCGATACCCGATGAGACTCAAGTAAGTACACTTTTGTTTTCACATAATTGCTGGAATTGAAATTGCTGCAAATGTGTCTCTGATAACTTCAGCGACACCATTTTCGATTGGTTAATCTATTTGCTACTTGTTTTGACCGTTGCTGCACGCGTGCGTTATGCTTTAAATCCTTAATCTACGGAATGGCAGATGATTCTGGTATTCAGAGCATTATTTTCCGGGTCCCCCTCACTTAACAACGGGGTTGCCGTTCCAGAATCAGAGAGCCGGGTTCGAATTCCAATCGATTCCATTACATTCCCTGTATACGTGCTAATACCCTTTGGAAAGGTATGAATCCTCATCTTCCGTTCCAGCGACCTATAGCGGCTCGGATTGCGAAATCGGAGAGCCGAGTTCGAATTCCAGTCGAATCCATTGCATTCACTGTATACGGGCTAATACCCTTGGGAAAGGGATGACTCCTCTTCTTCTCCCCCCCAGCTATAGGTAAAATAGTAGGACAGACCCCGTTCTATAGCCTTTGATAGCAACTGGTCTACTGCAGAAAGAAATGGCAAACAACTGCGGGAAAAATGTGTCGAAAGATACATGATCGCCTAAGTGTGTATCACGTATGGCACATAACTGAATGACTTATAGCATAATTACAGTTATATTCTTTTGCAGTTATAACTCACTGATTTTTCGACAGCAGGACCAGCAATAGTACTGGCAAGGCGTAACAGTCGTGCAAACTAAAGAACTAACTAATGAAGCAGAGTACCTTTTTCCTATTTGAATTTTCTGATAACTCCTAATTATCAACTTAATGGCTGAATAAGCCCATGGCGAGTTCTACGACAATAAAATATCCGTAGATATTCCCCTATCATATCGTTGAAATATTTGAGCTGACCAACTTTAACAACTTCCGGAAAAGATTTGAAATGGAAAACTTTTCTATTTCACTAAAATAAACTTTAAACACATCGATCTTTCCTTCTTTCTTTCTTACTGACACTCAGTAGCGTCTTTTGGTATGTCTTTCCAAACAATCAAAAGAAAGAAAGAAGTGTTTAACCTCTCCTGTCAATACCTCATAAATAATGGATTATTCTATTTTGATTTTGACGTTGCTTAACTTCGGCGATTGGTATTCGGTCAATTCGGTCTGATCCATCTAGCTTGGCGATTGGCACCAAGAACAGGATGTTGTTGTTTAACTTCGGCGATTGGCATTTGGGGATATGTATTTGCTCGACGGTCATCGGCGATTGGCATTCCCAAGCGGTAAACCCATTAGGGTATTGACCAAGCTCGATCGTTGCGTTTAACTTCGGCGATTGGTATTCCCAAGCGGTCATCCATTTAGGTACCAACGTTGCTTAGCGATTGGCATGACCTAGCGGTCACCGACGTTACTGACCAAGCTCGACGTTGTTTAGCTTCGGCGATTGGCATTCGGTCACCCATCTAGGTGACCCATCGATGTTGTGAGCTTCGGCGATTGGCATTCCGCGGTCACCCATCTCGACGTTGCTCGACGTTTAACTTCGGCGATTGGCATTCCCAAGCGGTCACCCATCTAGGTACTGACCAAGCTCGACGTTGCTTAGCTTCGGCGATTGGTATTCCCAAGCGGTCACCCATCTAGGTACTGACCAAGCTCGACGTTGCTTAGCTTCGGCGATTGGTATTCCCAAGCGGTCACCCATCTAGGTACTGACCAAGCTCGACGTTGCTTAACTTCGGCGTGATCCATTCAGGTATTGACCAAGCTCGACGTTGCTTAGTTTCGGCGATTGGTATTAGCGTGGTATGGTTCTGATAGAATCGTTGCTTTAGCTTCGGCGATTGGTATTTGTAGGTTCTGACTGCTCGACGTTGCTTAGCTTCGGCGATTGGTATTCCAAGCGGTCACCCAGGTACACGCCTCGACGTTGCTTTAACTCGGCGATTGGTATTCCCACCGGTCACCCATCTGGGTACTGGACTAAGCTTCGCGGGCTGGCCGGCGATTGGTATTCCTAAGCGGTCACCATCTGGGTACTGACGAAGCTCGACGTTGCTTAGCTTCGGCGATTGGTATTCCCAAGCGGTCACCCATAATGACGAAGCTCGACGTTCTTAGCTTCGGCGATTGGTATTCCCAAGCGGTCACCCATCTGGGTACTGACTAAGCTCGACGTTGCTTAGCTTCGGCGATT